CACTTGGCTCTGTGCAAGGAGTTACTCTTTTATCTTTAATACAATATGATTCTTTCATTTAATATAATGTTTATATAAAAAAATGTCTACTAGAACTAATTTTCTTAAAAGTGAGCTTGAAAAGATATATAGTAACCTTAATATTAGTTATGAATATGCTGATTTTTCTAGATTGGAATATGACAATAGATTTATAAAAGTATTTGAGTTGCTTATGGAAATAAGTGAAAAAGCAAATACTCTCAACAAAGTTGTAAAAGGTAATTATCTGTTTATATAACCTATTAATAAATGGAAAATCTTAGAAAAAAGATATTGAAAATTGAAGAATCATTAGATGAAGCTTATGAGTTAGTGGGTTTTCAATATTTGAACATAGAAGAAAAATATGAAATAATTGAGGTAGGATTAAATGAAATTGAAATTAAATTAAATGAGATAAAAAAGTTTTTAAGGAAAAGATAATATAGGCTAATAATAAATGGAAGCCAAATTCTTTTCTGAAATTGAGAAAAATATTGATGTTAAAACAATCAAGGATTTTGAAAAAGAAGTTCGATCAAAAATATATAATGAGATGGAAACACTTAGAAAAAAAAATGATGATCTTTCCAGAGTGTTAATGGTTACTGAATGTGAGATGTGGAAAAAAATTAGAAATGAGGAATATTCATGGTTAAGTATAAATAGTGATAAAAAGAAAAAACTTTATCGTCTTATTGATATTTACTCAAATTTTGTTGGCATAGTTGATAGTGTTAGAGATTTAAACACAAAAGTTGAGAAGGTTAAGAGGTTAAAAAATAAACCAGTGGATAGTGAATAAACATAAAAAATATAATATTTATTAAATATTATATTATTTTTATATTATTTTTATATTATTTTTATATTATTTTATATTATTTTATATTTATCCTCCAAAGTATGCTTTTATAAAATCACTATTGTCATCATCAAAATGAGGGTTATGTATTACATCAAGAATACTATTACCTCTCTGTCTCTCAAATAAGTAGTATAAACACCAATATCCACAAAGTACAGTATTGCGATTTTGTATTTCATCCATTGAGTAAACTATTTGTTTTCCAGAAGTATTAAAATATCTTAATGCTTCATTTGGCATTATTAGTCCAAATGGATCGAAATACTCAACTACATTGTCTATATTTCTATAACAAACCCAGTGTGTTCCAGGACCATCCATATCATCTAGATTAATTATTCCACATTCTTTTATAATATTTCTTGGTAGTCTATCACGAACATATATTCCTCTGAAATGTTTAATACCAAGTCTTTTTATCCAATCAATAAGGTCAAAGTTGGATAGAGGTTTAATTACAAAATGGTGCCTAGAATGGGGATTGAGTTGAATGGGCTGTTTTTTCCTAGTAATATTCCTTTTCCCCTGGATTTGGGCTTTTTTTTTTTAACTCCCATTCCTATTGGATTGTTCCATGTACCTATAAAAGGTGGTGAGTGATAAGGATAACCTTCGCCATAAGTAGATGGAGGAGGTGGAACGTAAACATTTGCTGTATTAGATGAATTACTTCTATCTACTTGTAGTCCAGAACCAAACATCTTAGATACTAAACTTATTGCCATTGGAATTCCAATAGAAGCAAGAGTTCCAAGAAATCCCCCTTCTATTTGTTTATGAGTTGGTTTAATAATTAATCGTCCACCTGTTTGATGTGCTTTGTTAATTTGGTTTATTTGTGATTGTGTAAATTCTCTTACAATAGGTGGTAGCATTGGGAAAAATTTATGGGGGATTGTTATTCCTTTTCCAAAAATTTTATTTAATCCAATTTCTCCAAGTGCAGTGGCAGCACCAGTAGCCAATGCAGGAACAACTTTTGATACTCCTTTTATTGCGTAAGGTAATACTTTTGCTCCAAGAGAAGCAAGTGATGTAAATAAGTTTCCACCATTTTTTACAGAACGTCTAATTTGCGTTCTACTTATCTTTATATCCGATCCTGTGCCATTTGCAATAGATTTTTTTATTTTAGAAATTTGTCTTCGGGTCAACATTAATTCATCAGAACCTCGAAGATGTGAATGTTTTATTCGAAGAGTTAGTTCTGATTTATTTAATATTGCAGAAGCCAATTTTGACTTTTGTCCATCTGTAAGTTTTACTCCGTATTCAATATAAGTTGTCATTTTTATTTGATGTTTATATTATTTTTGTTTTATGCTGGTGGTATTACTGGTGGTTATTTTTTTAACCAATAAAAATCATTACAAAAAACGTTATATAATTTTTGGACAAAATAAGATACAAATTTTTGTGTAATAACAACAGACGCCACAAGAAGTTGAAATTAACAATACCTCTTACTTTGAAACAGCTAAAAAACTGAACAATATTTAATCAAGCTCTTAATAATAGTTTTCCTCCTTCTTGTTCTATTTCTGCTTCTCGCTCATGTAGGACTAAAGCGTATAAATTATAATCAGCGTTTGGATTAGCAGATAGTTCGTAGTGAAATGATAATTTTGTAACACCATCTTTAATATCCAATTTTTGTTTTGTAAGATCAAAATAAACAAATGGAAATAAAGAACTAAAATTGGATCTATTAAGTAGTGTTCCACCTTGAAAATCATTATTTGCATATACATATGACATTACTTCTCTAAAAACTCTTGCTGGATCTGTAGCTGGTTTAAAGTGAATATCAGGGTACTCATTTCCATTTCCAACCTCGAGATAACAGCGAGATATATTAGCATTATTTGGTAGATTAAAAGTATTATATAAAAATGGATTTTCTGTTTGAGAACTAATATTAGCTGTGTTAATTCCAAAAACAAATACATGTCGAGGTTTTGAGATAGCATTTGTAATTCTAAAATGACCTGTTTGCTGTTGAGAGTTATTTGATCGCTCTACTACTTCATTAAGATACACCCATTTGTATGGTTTGAGATAATTTTCCATGTATAGTTTTTGTCCTTCTGAGTTAAATGTTAATTTTGGAACAAATAGTTGAAATCTTGATAGTACAACTCTACAAGCGGCACCTCCAGTTCTCCAGATAAGATTGTTATCCGATTCTAGTTCTATATTCAACTCAATTTTTGTATTTGGAAGAAGTTTGTCCTCTAGTGATTCAAAGAAAGAATATCTGTTGAGGGGAATATCACAACTAATTGTTACTGAGTTGCCTATTAGCGCTCTTCTTGTTGCAAAACCTTTGTTATAATCAGCTTCAACATCATCTATCATTAATCCTGCTTCATCAGCATTATTAGCTTCATTTCTTCTGTGAGTTACTTGCCTTTTTGTAAATTTATTTTTTTCAGCACTTCTTGATGTATCAAGATAGTAAAATTCATTTGTGCCAACACTCTCAACATAAGATGGATTATACTCAAGCAAATTCTTAATATTTACTACGTGATTAGCATAGTTGCAACTGTAAACATCTCGACCATTTGCTAGGATAGATAATTTTTCTATGAGAGAATTACTTCCATTTACTATTCCCGCTTGGGGGTTATTATTGTTAAAATCAGTTCCGTCTAAAAGTTGAACTTTGAAATCTACTGAAAATCGCGCGTTATACCAATCATAAGGAGTAGCTTCTCCTGTGTTATCAGCAACAAATCTATGACCTGTTTTAGTTTGATGAGCATTATTTGCTGGTGTTGCTAAAGCCTGTTCAAGGTCGAAAACAACATCTTCATATCTTTCTAAATATTTTGGATTTCTAAAAGACTTCATTTTATTTTAATAATTATATAATTTTCTCTTACGTGTTGAACCTCCACTAAGAATGGAAAGAACTCTGTCATGTGCCTCTTTTTGAGTGTTTGCATCTACACCCCATGTATTTGGTATTTTCTTAACTTTTTTTGTAGGTGTTTTTTTAACAGATTTTACCTTTTCTTTGGATAACATTTGCACTATTTTATCACCAGCCTTTTTACCAGAATATTCACCAGTTTTTGTTGCAGACATTTTTAGTAATTTATCACCACTTTTTTGAGCACTCTTTTTAGCAGTTTTTTTCATTGACTTTGCAAATGTTTTTTTTCCAAAGGATTTAAACCTATCCATCATTCCTTCTCCATAAATATGTTTTCTTTTATATTTACCCAATTCAGGGTCAAGTTTCATTTTAAACTCTGATTGTCGCATCATTTTTATTTTAATAGTTATATAAATATGAAGTATTACATCGAGTGAAGTATCAAAGTCATATACCAATCTATACCATTAAAATTTACTGGTCTTCCAAGTGAGTCTGTAACATAGATTCTCATTTCATCAATGTTAAATGAAGATATATCACAGTACAAAGGTCTTTTAGGCTCGAAAGTAAATGGAAAAGATCTTGTGAGATTGTCTGTTGGTACCACAGCAATAGTATTTGTATTTATTCCATTTACAATACTATTAGTTATTGCTGTTGTGTTTATATTTAGTACATCAATAGAATTTGTTATATTTGGTAGTTTTGTTCCATACTCAGTTTTTGTAATAAGTTTTTTTTCAAATCCAATAAGGTCTCCAAATTCTGTTCCTCTCAGATCTAATTGATAATCACCCTCAATTGATACTAACACTCGATAAGTAGATAGTATAAATGTTATATTAATTGAATAAGTTTTATTTCCACTTGAGTCTGATGAGTGAGATTTTTGATCCATATACTGGTGAATATAATCATTAATATCTGAGTAGGAATACATTCCATCTGTAAAAGTAATTGTTTGCCAAGTGGTTCCATCGTGAGTATATTTAATCTTATTATTTTTATAATCACTTCTAATATTATACCAAGAGTAAGTCATGGACAACCTGTCAAGAGCAAGTTTATGTTTTTTTTCAGGGTCAAGTTTCAAAGAAGGATTAAACTTAATATTAAAATCACCGGGTTTGCTTATTCCTCTTTTTTCCCTATTTATTGAAGAAATATGAATAGCTCGTTCTTCCATTTTTATCTATTTATTATATTATTCATTATCTTCTTTATAATTGTAAAGTTTATTTAAATTTCTATAGTATCCTGATAATACATTAAAAAATTTTAAATCATCTAAATTTTTCTTTGTTAATCTTTTATTTGAATTAGCTTGTAAATATCTACCCGAATAATAAAAATCGGAAAAGTTTTCTATTTTTTCTTTATACTTTTTTAATTCGTTAAAAATATTTTCGTTAATATCATTCATAACTTTTAAATTTTCGTTAAAATAAGCAGAGGGTAAATAATAGTAATAATTTTTTTTTAGTATTTCTTGTACTTCTTTTGTTTTTAAATGTTTATCGTAATCATCTTTATTTTTAAACTCTTCCGGATCGTATTCTGTTTTTTCATTAACTATTTTAGTTATACCTAAGTAATCTGGTAAATCATACTGTTCTTGTCTTTCTCTTTCCTGTCTTTCTCTTTCCTGTCTTTCTCTTTCTTCTTGTTCTTGTCTTTGTCTTTCTCTTTCCTGTCTTTCTCTTTCTTCTTGTTCTTGTCTTTGTCTTTCTCTTTCCTGTCTTTCTCTTTCCTGTCTTTCTCTTTCTTCTTGTTCTTGTCTTTCTTCTTGTTCTTGTCTTTGTCTTTCTCTTTCTTCTTGTTCTTGTCTTTGTCTTTCTCTTTCTTCTAATAATCTTAGTTCTCGTACCAATGTTTCTTGTCTTTGTCTTTCTTCATTTGCTTGGTTTTCTATTTCTTGTCTTCGTCTTAAAAATTGTAATTCTTCTTCTCTTTCCTCTAATAATCTTAGTTCTCTTTCTTGTCTTTCTTGTCTTTCTTGTCTTTCCTCTAATAATCTTTGTTCTCTTTCTTGTCTTTCTTGTCTTTCTCTTTCTCTTTTTTCTTGTTCTTCTATTTCTTCTATTTCTTCTATTTTTTCTTGTTCTTCTCTTTCTCTTTTTTTTTGTTTTTCCAGCATTAATCTTAGTTCTTGTATTAAACTTTCCTGTGTAAAAATAATTTTTTCTAAAGTTTTATTTTGCTGGTCATCAATACTTTTTTTAACACTTTCTTGTATCTCAATAAGTGGTTTAAATGTTTCTGTAAAACCCTCTCTCATATCTTGTTTTTGCCATTTTTTTTCTTTTATAACATTTCTCACTTGCCTAGTCAAAGCATCAGCCTCAATTTTATTTTTTGCAAGTTTTTTATACTCTTCAATATCCATATTTATTTAATCCTTACATAAGTTTTTAGTAAATTATTTAGTTGTTTTTTTGTAATTATTTTCATTTGGTTTAGAAGATGTGCTATTTGAGAAAACTCATTTATTACACCATTATTTCCAGCAAGAATTGATCCACCTAGTAATTCAAGTCTGTTTATAAGTTGATGTGGGTTGTTAAAGTAAATCATTCCAGAGCCAATTTTTTCTTTGTAATCCTTAATTTTATTTAAATTTGTTGTATAAATGCTTAATACGTTAAAAGTAGATATATTATCAAGAGTTTCTTTTCTTGGTTTTTTTGCTTTTGCTTCAGCTATAAAATAACCTCCATTTGATTTAAAATCAACAGTGTTTTTCAATCTACTTTGAAGATTTTGCAAATCATCATTAAGAACTTCTATTGTTTTGTAAATAATTGTAATATCATCGTTTAAATATGCAGAAGGAAGATTATCATAACCATTATTTTTTAATATTTCTATTGATTCTTGATTATTTAAAAATTTGTCAATATCATCTTTGTTAAACGTTACTATTTTAGATTTATCACTTGTACTACCACTTGTACTACCACTTGTACTACCACTTGTACTACCACTTGGATCATCATTATCTCCAAGTAAATTTTGTAATCCTTTAGTTATAGCAAGTCTGTTTTGATTTAAACCTTCTGTAAGAGCAAGTTGATTAGCTTGAAGTTGTGCTAAAGTTTTATTTTGCTGGTCATCAATACTTTTTTTAACACTCTCTTGAGACTCAATAAGTGGTTTAAATGTTTCTGTAAAACCCTCTCTCATATCTTGTTTTTGCCATTTTGTTTCTTTTATAACATTTCTCACTTGTCTAGTCAAAGAGTCAGCCTCAATTTTATTTTTTGCAAGTTTTTTATACTCTTCAATATCCATTTTATATAATAAATATATAACTATTATATAAAATGGAAATACCAAACTATGATAGTTTAGATAACCCAGAAAAAAAGTATAAACAGATATTTTCTTATATGCCATCAGATACTTTTAGAATGTTAATCTGTGGAAACAGTGGAAGTGGTAAAACTAATTTGCTTTATCATATGTTAATTAAACCACTTTTATATTATGATGAAATTTATCTTTACGCTCGTAATCTAGAACAGGATAAGTATCAAAAATTAATTCAAAAAATGAGGGAGTTAAGTCATAAAATGGGATATGAAATACTAAATGTAAGTAATGATGAAATAATTCCAGTTACAGAAATGGAATATGAGGATAATCAAAAACTTGTAATATTTGATGATTACGTATGTGATAAAAATCAAAGAGAACTTATTGATTATTTTATCCAAGGACGCCATAAGAATTGTTCTGTAATATACCTAAGTCAATCATTTTACAAAACTCCAAAGGATATTCGATTAAATTGTTCTCACTACTGTCTGTACGAATTTCCATCATCAAGGGAAGCAAACAGGATATCATCAGAATTAGGAGTTGATAAAGAAACATATAGAACAGCAACAAAAAAACCATTTACTTTTCTATACGTTGATAAGCCTAAAAAACGTATTGCTAAAAACTTTACTAGTAGTCTAAACTAATAAATAAAATGGGAATATTTAACGAACAAAAAAATAACTCATTTGCTAGAGGAATTCAAGGAGCACCAGGAGTTGGATTTAATCTTACTTCTGATGGTGATTATGATATGATAAATAAAAAAATAAGAAATGTTGGTACACCAACTGCTAATACTGATGCTGCTACAAAAAAGTATGTTGATGATAATTCTAGCGGGGCACCCACAACAACACGATTAACAGTTGATTCAAACATTGATATGAAAGACCGCTTTCGTATTCTAAACCTTAAACATCCAAATGATGCAGATGAGCCAGCAACAAAACAATATGCAGACAGTAATTTTCTTAACAGAGATGGTTCACGAACAATGATTGGCAATTTAAGCATGAAT